TCTCGGCCGCTCCCGCGCTCGCGCCCGCGCCCGCGCCCGCGCCTGCACCCACGCCCGACGCTCCGACTCCCCAGCGCCCGGGCGCCTCGCTGCCCAGCCCGTCCCTTCACACACACTCTCTCTCTCTCTCGCACCCACGCGCGGCTGAGGCCCCATTTGCCACGCTCCAAGGAGCGTCTCCGATGCACTTGGGAATGGAGACCGCTGGGGCGCCGGGTAGAGCCATCCGCGCATCGTTTGTCATCCATGGGAAGCGATGATTTAATGAATATACATCGCTCGCGAAAATCGTCAGACAAACGCCATGCATTCAAAATGTTGATTTACATTCATGTTCCTGCTCTTTCTACCTCGTGCTGCTGTTCCAAGTTCTTTGTTGTAATAATTACATCAAAGTTCTCTTGACAATTTAAATGACAAAACGGTAACAATTTGAAACACAATGATGCACGATATTTCTGCATCTTAAAAACCTTTCAAAGATAAACAATCAAACAGCATCACATCACATCACATCAAAACTTGAATCCTGTCATTCAATGACTTTAATAGTAACCTCCCCGGAATTTTGATGAAAGCTCATCCGTGATCATTCATTCTTCAGGAATGGCACGTAAACATTACAAAGTAAAAAATTGTTATACTATTCTTTTAGGGAATGAACAGTCATTTGTTTGTTTCATAAAATAATATTTTATTCGTCTGTACTTAAAATAGATGGTGTTTATCTTGCAAATAAAAAGAGAGTATCAAATTCATTCAAAGTTTTGCGGTAAAAAAATGTGGATAGTTACGCATTGAATGTAATTCAATTGAAAACATTTTGTTCCAGGATTAGATAAAACAATTTCCACGGATTACCACTACGTTTTCAATGAGACTCTTGATACGATTTAGATCTCTTTGTACCTCATTTAGTAACTTAATAATATCAGACAAACATAAATACCTGTAAGCGTGAGTTTTAATAAAAATTAATCAGTTTTCATGAGTATTTATGAAGTGAAAACACTAGTCTATCGTCTTTATTCTTATTTTAAAATCTCACATTTATTACGATAAAACTTTCAATCATAGTTTCTCACGGTATTTTACAGTGTTAATTTCCCCCCTCCATTACTGTAATTTTGATCATTTCTAAAAGTTGCCTTTTTATTTTGGGTCTTGAAACTCTCGCCTACTTTTGTACTGGTCAACAGTGTAATATGTCAATGGCAAAAAAGCGATTCAATAGAGTTAGGTTTATTGCAGAATCGATTTCTACATAAAATTTTACAATGGAGAAACCCAGCAACAATATTTTATTAATTCTTTTCAAGGCTAACCGCATTAAATAGTTATTATCTTATGAAATAAAATTTGAATTTGTACTTTCAAACTCCACCAAATCTTCATAATATTCATGCATTCCATAGACCTTCACATTTTTTTTTATTCGTGAGAAGTTGACGTTACTTCCATACGTTACGTTCATAATCTTCCAACAAACTCAAACTGAGGTTTTAGTATGAAGTGCATGGAACACGTTACAAACACTCAAAATAAAAATATTGAGTCCACCTGAAACGAACAACCGAGCTATTACATCTGATCCCCGTTCTTTACAAAACCCATTTAAAATATCATTCAGAATCAAACTTTTAACAGACTTTTATTGAAGTCGATCCTGGAACATCCAATTCAGAATATCCCCTAAAACATCGATGTCCCTAAAATGTCGGACTTAAAAACGTATCCACATTTAAACATGGATTAATCGGGACATAAAGTTCAATGTTTTAAATATGGATCTATCGTTGCCATTCCTGGCGGCCATTCTCGCTCAGCGCCCGGCCATCCCCTTCCGCGCCCACATCCGCACTCGTTCCCTTTCGGCCTCCCGTGGCTCGAGGCCTGCCCTGCCACGGCTCACAGGCTCTCCGGCGAAGCTGGTAAAGAAGGGGGAGTGAGGGAGCCCTACGAGTGGCCCAGTGACACTCCGATTTAAATGTAGTGCCCCTTCAAGGTCACTTCCCTCTCAAGGTCAGCAACCTTAGGACTTCAATGTTTGCATTGAGGCTGCCGATTGGATGACAATGTCTCTCACTCTCCTTCCAATTGACCTTGAAGGAACTACATTTAATTCGGAGTATATCTTGGCCGTCGCGTGGAATTGGTGCTCTTTGGAATCATTGCGCTTTGTGGGGTCAGGGCTACATTTACGTACTGCGGGGCCCCTCAAGGTAAAATACTTTTTGTACGAAAGCAAATGAAAATAAACAAACTGCTTATAGAATTTAACGTGTACATGCTGTTTCAAAATTTGTGTTACAAACTTAGTTGATGATGACTATTCGCCCATAAACATGTGGTTGAAAACGTTTTATAATGAAGTTACACATACAATATTATTTCGTGATTGGTAGACAACTCCGCATGCACCGGTATTCGGCAGATTGACGAAATCTGATTACTATTATTAAATTATTTACTATACTATTATTAAATATTTTATTCAATATAAAAAAATTATTTTACAGATCCAAACATATTTCATGACTTGTTTAGAAGTTTTTATGAACTTTTTCCCAGACGTGTGAGCCCCACCCCCTCCCATGGGTGGGAACCCCTAAGCAATGGCTTACTTTGCTTGTAGGTAAATCCGGCCTTGAATGAGGGCACTCAAAAAAGTACGGGGTCTCCAGAGATGGCTGCCGATTTGCGTGCAAGATGTAGCGGCTGGAGAGCAGCCACGGAGCATCTCAAGTTAGCACGAGTGACATTTACGAGATGGAAATCCCATTACTTCTGGCTCTGGTAATAACTGCCAGTTTTTGCTCTTTTTCAAAAAGTCTGTCCAAATATGAAGTGCTGCTCGCCGTTATTAAAGAACGCGCCGGTTGAGGCTTATATGAAATTACAAAAACGACAGTACACCATACTTAAAGAATATTTTTTGTGGTGAAATTATTCATAATCAGAATGATATTTACAAAAAAAATCTAAAAACAAATAATAGAACCTAGTTTTGGGCCAGATGTAATTATAATCGTCATGTGAACTATGCAATCAAATTGTTCGTGCGCAAATGCCGATAGTGTCTTAATCATTCCTGTGTAATTTAAAAATGAGATAAAGATTTTTAAATTAAAAAAATTGAGATAAAATTTATTATAAATTCTTTACAAATGTTGACTTTCAACAACGTCTAACAAAAAATAAGTAATTTGACACACTATTTTGTTCAAAGAAATTTAAAGTAATGTAGTAACTCTATCGGTATTTACACTTCAGTGATTTGTGCTGTATACACAGATCTTTCCGAATAAATATTACAAACTTCTAAGGCATGTAAAAGTATAGAAAATGCTAACATTTTTCCATTGAATGTATAAAAGCACGTGACATCGTTGTATGAAATGTATCACTACATGTGGCACTACATATTTAAATGTATATAACTCGGTTATATGCAATTTCCCACTATATATTCATTGGCAAAAAGTAATCATTTTCTATCCCTTTACATGCCCTAGAAGTTTGTAACATTTATTTTGGGTCGTCCTGCATAACAACAAAATAGAACTAATACCGACAACTAATAGTCAAATGTTTAATTTCAATATTTGAAAGGTAATGCGCGACAACAACGCGGCCCCAGAGGACATTAAATTCCATTGAACGGTGAGGTACAACGCAATATACCTCTTCTATTGATCATGCATTATTTAGGACGGTGAATTGCTAAGTAATGTTATATTTAAATATAAAACATTTTATGAGCAATATTACCCCAAAAGAGAAAATGGCGAACGCGGAAACGAATTAACCGTTGAAAACTTCGAATGCCATTGATAAATTGTATTAGAAAAAAATTCAAGACATGTCGGTTTACTGTTAATGCGTAATAAAGAATTATTGCTCGGCATTAATGTATTTCGTTTAATACGTTTCTCTACTATATTAAACAGGGAAATCTGTATTATGGTCAGTTTTTAAATGAGAGTTCATTACCACTCGTAATTTATCGAGTGCTAATATTGTTCCCTCGCCATTCAACACTGCACTTTCTACTCATGCAGCTAATACTTTGCTAGAGTAGAGAGCGCCGCTGAAGCGGAAGGAAGCGCAGGGATGGAGCTCCCGGACTCTCCTCTACCATGCTCCTCTCCCAAGCGATGCCAGAGCCCTCGGTCGGGGCGGGGGCAGGGCGAAGGCAAAGGAGGCGCCGGCGCGTGGGCGGGCGACGGGGGAGGGCGGCGAAGCGAACAGGGCGCGGAGGGGGAGGGCAGACCGGAGGGCCACTGTCTGCGCGTCCGCGATGTGCCAGCGACCCAAGTGGGCGGTGGCGGCGGCGATCCTCGCATGCAGCGGGCAGTGCCATGCGGTAGCAGCCTCCAGCGCAGAAGAACCAGAACCCTGGACAGCAACGCCGAGAGACAGATAGAGAAAGACAGAGGCACGGGTGCAGGCAGTCGGTGCAAACGTGCCAGCATTCGCACACTCGAGAGAGAGAGAGAAAAAAACAGAACAAAAGTAAATAAGGTCTCAGCCCGCCGAGACACTAGATGCCGGTGCAGAATTTTCGAGTAGTGACACACTCTGGGCGCGGGTGCGGGTGCTGGGCTCAACTTACGCTGCAGGGGGGCGGGGGCTCGAGCGCGGGCGCGCGGCGAGCGGCCGGGCCCTACCAGCGACTACAGTGCGGGCGCGGGCCGCCCGGCGGGTGGCGCGACCTGCGGAGCTGCGCGATCTACGGTGAATCTACGACAGGGCGAGGCGAGGCAGGCGAGGTGAGCGGCGGCGACGCGGGCCGGGGCCAGGGCCGGGGCCTAGGCCGGGACCAGGGCCGGGCCTCCCAGGGCGGCGAGTACCGTTCACGGCCAGCTGGACGGAGTGCTCGGCGGAGGCCGCCGCGTTGCGCGCGCGGCACGTGTAGCGGCCGTTGTGCTGCGTGCTGAGCTGCTCGATGAGCAACGTCGAGCTGAACTCGCCCAGGTTCTTCACGGTGACGGACGGCAGATCCAGCGCGTCCACCTGCGCGTCGTCCTTGAGCCACGTGATGGTGATGGGCGCGTCGCCGCGCGTCACCAGGCATTGAAGGCCAACGCGCTCCCCCAAGTGAACGCTGCTCTCAATGGAAAACGGATAAATGGTCGGAGGCTCTGCAACGGACGAACGCAACGGCCCCGCCGTTCAGCCCCCGTCGGTCTCTCTCCCTGCGGCGACTGCTGCTTGTAGCGCCGACGCCACTGCTCTCGCCGCCACCGTCACCCCCGCCTCTGCCTCTTCCGCTGCCTCTGCCGCCGCCGCTGCCGTCGCCGCCGCCCTCTCTGTTGGCGCGATCCGAAAAGGCCTGCTCTTTCCACACTTTTCTCTCTCCCGGATTTCAACGGATTAAGTCAGCGAGAATCTACGAGGCGAAAACATTCAGTCATTCTTTCGTTTTAATTTTGAATATTTGGCATCCATTTTATTTGGGGTTACCCGTGTTGCAGCTCGTCATTTCGAGTGTCCCCCTACCTGGCCAACTGACAGCATTGTATTGAAGAGCACATGAACCCTCACATTAATTAACATTTATATTGGCTCATATCCAGCAAGATTAACAGAGACTTGTTTCGGGTTGCAGCTTGTCGATTTTTTAAAGCGAAGTGACAACAGTACAGTAACGCCTAATGAATACGAATGACCTATATTCTTTGCATCCGCAAAAAGATTATATGATACAGAAAATAAATTTTCTTACTCTGTATCTAATTTGTGTAAAAATATCGATCAGAATAAAACAAATACTGTGACACACTGAAGTTATGAGGGATTATCAGTATTGCGAAAAGTAAAAAGAGAAATAATTAGGTCATATTTTTTTCAGCTAAGAACGTTTTTGTGCGAACTGTGGTGATTAACACACAGAATTGTGAAAGCTATATATCACGACTAAATCCGGGAGTAAGTGTTTCGAATGTTCCCAGTCCGGGCCAACACCAGATCCGACAATCTATGGTCGCTGTAATCCGGGTGGAGTCGGAGGTGACAGACGTTAACAGACCACAAGTGACGCCGTCCAGATGCCGTAGTCGACAGAGGCCATTAAGACAGCCTCGAGCTAACTCGTTCTGCAGAACGAAAGAAGATACATCATCCTGTCGGCCAGTGATTAAGCGATCTTTACGCCCGTTCCAGCTACGCCTTGTCCGCGGATAAGATGCCAAGACGCGAATTTGCTGTTCCCTTAAGTAATGGGCGTCTGCCACGCCACGGCGGGTGGGGCGTCGTGGGCACGCCCTAAGCTTAAGCAGCGGCCGACTCTAAGGAGGCCGCAGATCGGTGGCCTTTGAGAGACAGCGAGGGCGGTGACGGTGGCGGGGGCGGCGTGGCGGGGGCGGCGGCAGCAGCGGGGGAGGTGGGGGTGGCGACACCGGACTGCTCTGGCGCTGTCTGCAAGGGAGAATTAGTGGAGGCCAGCGCGCGGCCGGAAATTCGCCGTCACAAGGGTGACCACATGGCCTTACCATTTGGAGCGCGGGACGCCGGGTGGCGCTGACACGTCGACTCCCGGGACTTCTCTTAACTGGCAGCATTCCCTACGAAATCTTCGTCTCTGTGTCCAGCTCCGCATCTCCGACCTCCGAGATCAAGCATATCCGAGAAAGGTTGAACACCGCTATTCACAGCTGTCCTTTCAATGTGTCCGAAACACATTTGTCGAGTCACCACAGAGAAATTTACGATAATGTCAGCATTGTGAGGATAAAAAGGAAGTCACATTTTTGTAATTATATTACGTTTCTATATATTCTATACATGACTATACTAAGTTATCATTATGAGAAGAATCGTAAAACTACAGATATGGAACCTGATAAACATGTCCGTGATAATTTCTGTAATCCATCTCGATGGAAATGACATGCCCTGTTGAACATTACAATGGAAAACCAAAAGGAAGGAAGAGAGTTTTTGAATTATTCGCAAATGATGCATTTATAAACGTCCAATACATGGCATTTTACAATATTGAATGCGAATATCTGACTAAATCATTAGAAAAGCCGAAAGAACACAATTACATTTGAAATCTCTCCCAATTTAATGACACTAATGATTACACAATGATGTGTATTCTTTAGATCAGAAAAAATATTACAAGCAGAACATAATCACGAATAAACGTGGGTGTGAGCGGGTATATTTTACTCCAACTCACACGATGAACGCATTTTAAAGATATCTGTTTATCGCGTGCCATCGCCAATACTCACGAGCACGTACAGATAGCTACATTTTCAATTACCTATACAGGGCACCCTCTTCTCGACGAGCGCTAACGGCACGAGTCGACAAGATACTCTGCAGGAGAACATTTCCCTGGCACGTGTCCGGAATCGGGCAGCAGTAGGCGCGCGTGGGCGGGGGTGGGGGCGGCGTGTTCTGGAACGTGCACGGAGCCGGGTGAACGGTGGCCGTCACAGATCAGACTCTGGATCGCGCGGTGTGAATCGACCGTAACGTGGAAACGAGAGAGAGCCAGCGTCCCCGCACCCCTCTACTCCACCACCCCCGCTCGTACCCCGCGAAGACGCGAACTGCGGGACGCGGGACGAAATGCGAAGAGGACTGGCGACGGAGGGTGGTGGGGAGGGCGAGGGGAAAGGTGGGGAGGACGGGAGGTGCGAACGACGGAACGAGTACGAACGCCACCACCACCCCCTCCTGCTTCTAAATCGACCCCAAAGCGACGTTGCAGGTTATTCCTTCTAAAAAGACGTTTGCAGCAGTACGCCCCCTCTTTCGGAGAAATGCTGAGTGAGCTTTGCCAATGGTGCGAGGCGAGCTGGGCTGCAGCTCCACAGCTGATCTGCCTCATTCGCGCCGAAACTCATTCCGCTTTTGAGGGGAGCGTTTCTCTGAAAGGAAACGGGAGCTTAATGCGTTTGTTCGCTACATCTCGGGGTCGTGGAAGAGCTATTTCACTTTCATACCTGCAACTGAAACGGCACTCTCCCAGCTTTGCCGTTCGTCTAACCGACAGTTCGAGGCAGTTTAAGAATTGACAGCGTTGCCACACGTAATACGAGCACCTTGGTTATTGCAGGTTTTGCAATTCCAGCTTTTCCTTTCTGAGCGCTCAAAGGCTTTTTAGAAGAAATATGTACAAATTATTAGAAGCATTTCCGTGGAGGTATTACGAGACACTCTGCGGGAGGATAGAAGTTAATAAACTTTACAAATTTGAGAAGTATTTATATTCAATTTAAATTTCTTTTCCTGTTATGAAAAGATATGAAATACAGTAAAAGTGAAAAAGCTAAAAGGTAATTCGAACAAACTGTAGCACGTGTTAACTGAAAAAATAATGAATGAATTGTACAACCCAATTATCAGACATTAGTAGATAAAGAAGAATAGGGTAAAAAGATAAATGCAATCGGTAACATTGTAACATTAAGGTAACACCTACCTAAAATTACAGCTCGCAGATGTTGTTGGTTTAAATCTATTGATTGAGATAAATTTTGTTGATGACTGCTGTACTAATAAATCGCTTCTACACAAAAGGGAAGCGTTTGTGCTACATGAATGGCTGAGGTTCGTCTTCTACCTGAGTGTACTTTGAACGTATTCGTGAATCCAATTGTACATATAAAGCACTCACTGTTCCTGAATCGCGAACGTGTCTAATTAATCTTCCTTCTAATTCCCACCACTCTGACACACGCGACAGTGTTCTCATGCGTTGACAGAAGCGCTTCGAGAGTGCCTTGTCAAATCTGAACCTGCGTTTGCTCGTAGAATAGAACAGGATGGTGACGGTGGTGACTTAGCAGAGACGTAGAATGCGGAGAGGAGACAGAGACGGAAATTAAAATGGCCACTTTCCTGTAAATCATGCTTACACTTTTGCTCGGCGAATAGTCTTTGGTCCCCAGGCGCCTGTTCTACAGATAAAGCGAGTCATCACTAATTGGTCCCAGCGATACATCATTTTAGCCTTGATTAAGCATTGCAGTAAACCTTGGAATAGTACCGCATTTCACCACGATGATGTATCATTTTGGTCTTGAAGCATCGCTGTGCCCTTAGTGATGTATCGCTCTCGCAACTTGCTAAGGTATTGCACTATGGCCTTGGGTAGGCATATTTCAATGACCTCAACGAGGCGACGCTTCCCTGGGCGCTGGAAGGTAGCGCTCGAGCTTGCGCCCGAGAACTCACCCATTACGCTGACTTCGACCGTGCCACGGTCGGAATGCCCTTGGCGGTTACGAGCTTGGCAGGTGTAGGAACCCTGGTCCGACCGCTTCTGCACGTTGTCCACTGTGAGCGTGCCGTCTACGCTCACGCTCTGGCGATGGTTGCTGGGAAGCGCGCGGCCGTCTGCGGATTGTCAATTTCCTTGATGGATTCCTACACTTTCCTACTTCACTGAACTCATGACACATTTCCGCATGTAAAACAATACGACGAATATGTTTTTACTGAGTTATTTTTACAGAGAATTTTTAATTTTTAATTTCATTTATTTATTATTTATTTTATTTTATTTGTCAATTTTGTCATACTTTGCTATATTTTTGTTTGTACCCTTACTTTACGATATTTTCTCATTTTTCCTCCAGCATGTAATAGATCCACTGACGTTGGGAACAGTTTTTCCCGAAAGTTAATTTGGGTATGTTATAACAACTATTATAACTGGGATTGTTATAGGTGATTATTTCCTATCTCACATTATGGATTATGACAAGATGTACCACCACGGTAGTATTGTAAGGCAGAATTTCCATATTACACTACAATTTGTGGAGCGGCAATTCCAAAACATATGAATGGATGGAAAGCAGAACGGTGTAAGTGACATTTTATAAATTCTGGGAAAAAAAGTGATTATATTTAGTTATATTTCACTGACAATGTAATTTCGTGGCGTTAATGAACAATGAAATGCCGTAGTTTGAATGATGAAACAAAGCACCCCGACTTGACAGTGATATTGAATTAAATAAACAGTTTTCTCAGAATTTATAAAATGTCACATATACCGTTCTGGTTTTCGCCCATTTATATAACTGTAAAATATCTGCCTATTTCTGGCTGAAGACATTCAATTATGTACTGAATATTTGTTCACAATTTCAATTTAAAATTGGGAGACACTAAACTGTAGTAGAACAATTAAGCAAAAGCAACTCTTTCTGATCATATATGGAATATTTTTTGTGGACAAAACATACGAGCACATATATTTGTAAAATTCAACGCAGTGTTTACACTAGAACGTTCTCGCGTCAGGTAATTGGAAGCGTATAACAAAATGAAGTGAATAAACGACAGTATTATTTCAAAAATACTAACTTCACAAACCAAGAGTCCTTAACAAATGAAAAAAATATATCTCTTATTAATATGAAGCCGATATTATCAAATAATAGATCTAAAAATAAACATTGGATAGAATATTGAATTTGATGAGGGATTAGATGAATCGCGAATTTTGTGAAAATAAACATTGGAAAACATGGAATTTAATAAGTTACTCCAATTTTTCAAGGCATTAGCCCATTCCGGATCGGGAATCGAATATTTTGTAATCCAACAACTAATGCTACAACACCATATACCTTCTGGCATTATTTCTATCTTTTGCAATTTTCGAAAACTCAGGGTTTGACCTCAATAAGACCAACATGTTTAAGTGTTATTTGCCCTGACTTTGAAAAAAATGTAAAGAAAACAATTGCAGCTCTTTTTGTTAAAACGTTATGAATTCCTTTACTTCAATCAAAATTTAGACCAAAAGTGTTTTTTTTAATTGTACATAAGTATTTTTATATATAATTAAATATATAATTTTGAGAACATATTTCATAAAAGAAAAAATCTATCATTAATATTGTAGTTTTATAAAGTTAATTTCTTGAAATTTTCTAAAGCTGTACAGAGTTCGCCGAATATGGGATCTGCGCCATTTTTTATCGTCCTTTGCTTTATACGAGGAAAACATGTGAAAAAAAGACAGAGGTTTTTTAGAAAATAATTGCTGAAAGACTGCCTATATTTCACGCAAAATTACGCAAAAACTGCTAATAATTTCGAAACGTTGTACATGGCTTTATATAAATATCTATTAATATAAAAAATATTCGTTTTAAATTCGTTGGGCCTCGAGTTCGACCATCTCAATGGAGATTATTAAATTTGAATACAATCGTCTGAACAGTTTAGGTGTTAGCGTGGACCACAGACGGACGTTTTGCCGTAAACCAATTTTTAGTTTTAAGGACCCGCAAAACGTGAATTCTGACCACATAACGTGATAGCGTACGTAATCAACTACAAATTGTGGAAGATTTATTCACTTTGTACATAATAAGACCCCAACAAAATCCGTTTTTCTGATGAAACATCGCCACTTTTGTAGGATTACAATGCTTTCATGTTTCAATATATTAGGTGAGAAAGTAAAAGTGGCATAACGAGTGACGCATCAAGAAATTAACTGCTTCGATGTCATAAGGAACCATTTAAATCATGACAACGGAAAAATAAATAATTATTAATAATAATAATAATACACATATCATAAACAAAATTTAAACATAAAAAATAAAAATTGTCTTGAAGATATTTCAACAATTTTCACCTACTTTTCCTCTTACTGCAAAGCTTAAAGACCTTCATGAAAATTCATTACTCGCAGAAAAAAGTGCAAATGTACACGACTCCTGCCGGCACAGAAATGTTCTCGCAAATGTGTTAAAACGGCGCTGGCAGTCGCAACTCGTTTTCGTTTGCTTGTATCAACTGACTACGACCCAGGATCCAGGAGTCAGAATCACTTAGCGTTAGCGACCGCTAATTTGGCTTGCAAACCCCTTGTTTGACTTGCGATCCCTGATTTGGGGCGATTCGACTCCTGAACGTACTGTTCCAATTGCGCGTTTGCTGGCATTCACTGCGTGCTTTGGAAGGGTTTGAGATTCTCACGACCGAAATTCTACAAACCTAGTAGCGTCTTGGCATTCTTCACCGATTAAACTTATGTAGTTAAGAAAGGTAGAAAAAATGCTGGTGAAAAAGGAATAGGAGCTTATTTTAAAGATGTATGTGACAATATGGCACAGAATTAATTAATGGATCATGTAAGACCATTGGATAATGAAGTAAATATTACGGCAACTACAGCCCGATTCAGCAGAAAAACATCCGTGCAGGCTCTTCCACATCCACATACTTCCAATATTCACATACTGCACCATAACTTTCAATTTCAAGTGTAACTGAATTTATCAAGGCTGCTCCACAGAGCTATTTAAATCAAATAGGTGTTTCTTGCTATACAGAACATTGATTATTTGGTGGCGTGTGAACTTACCATTATCCTAATTTCAAATATTTATATTGCAAGTTGTTATTGCACAGAAAGAGAACCAAAGAAGAGACCTAAATGCGGAGGGTCTTTTATTTTCGTTACAACTACAATTTACTATAGATTCTAAATTTTTGTCAGAATTATATACGTATTCAAGTGAAACTATTTTTGAAATAGCTTATGTTCAACTTCCGACGCTCAGGATTATTTTCCTAGCTTCTATAATGCTGCAAAAAAGCGATGTATATATTATATTACGTTCTTAGAAAATAATAGAGATAACTTCAAACAATATCAGCAATTGTTCTTTTGAAATCATGTGTTTTCTTTTTGTTTTCGTGGAGATGTTAACTTTTGTCTTCTGGAATAATTAGAAAAACTGCTACTTCTGGCAGTAAGAGCCTTTTTCTTGCCAGAAACGAATTATTCATGAACTAGGCTTCTTGGTACAGAAATCATTGGACGCCGTTCATAATACTATCGGCACAAACGGCAAATATAATTCTTTTCCTCGACTTTTTCATTTCATTGAACAACGTACTTTCCTCTTAGAGCAAGAAAATGAATCCGTTCATGGAAAAGTATTACATGGATAAAAACACAGATTAGAAAACCACGTAAAACCAAACGAATTCTTTGTTTAATTTCTAAGCATCATAACGTATCTTATGATATCTTCCTCTACTTCCAAAATTCCAATCATTGTTATTGAAATTCATATTGAAGTCTAGAACCATAAGACATTATGACGAAATTTGGAACTCTAATAACAAAAAAGGCAATGTAGAATATAGTAAAAAGTAGTCCCAACTTTTTACTATATTATATCTTCTTTACTTTATACGATATTCTGTAACATTTTATTCAGCATAACTTTTTATATACATTTAAACACTACCCTGTGAATGGGTAAGAGAAACAATATTCGTTTTAACAATGATATATAATGTATTAGTTATCAATTGTATTGTATAATTCTTAAGCACTAAATGTGTCTGTAGCAAATATTGTATCTCAACTTCTGGAACATTGGCCCTATCGTCAACAGATTTTTTTTTCACTTTCTGCGAACCTATATGAGCAAATGCTGATGGCCTCTTGCTGTGTTGGTGGACACACGATGCACGTTGGTGCACGTTTTATAAATGTAAGTGGAAAATATAGATGTTCAAAGAATCGTTTTCCATGTTTTCGCGGAAGTAAGTCGATTCCTTCAGGCAGGGCACAATAAGGAATAATACCCAAAATCGATAGCAGATACGCCTTTAAAAATTATTTATATTACACGGATTTAAATATTTTCTCATTAATTCTTGCAAAAACGCTCGTGTCTTTCTGTATTCATAATTCAGATTGTGTGTGATTTAGGGGCGGGTTCCTAGAGCTGAAGAAACATGTCGAAATTGCACTTCTCCCTATAGTATTTCATACAGAGTTATTGTAAGATTTTTTATCGTTTAATAAATAAATAAATATTCCCGGTGTAATATTGCGATTGAGATAATGTAATCAAATAAAGAGGAAACGAGTGCATCACAAAGCTGTGCATTTTGAAGCTGTTCTAATGCAACCTCCAAAAATAAATTCACCAGCAAGTTCACCATAGAGAAAGAAGCTCGGTGACTGCACAACGAACTGATTATCGAGAAAACCGCAAACTGTTCGCTAAAGCTATTGAAACAGGAGGAAATCACTCGAATATTTCAGTGGTATGAGTAATTGGAATAATTAGAATACCACGTATTCCTAAATCCCAACCGACGCAACAAGTTATGAAATCACTGCAAAATTCAATTTGGGAAGCTACCGTTCATTTTTGCGGTCCAACTCCTTTGAGCAAGTGGTTTTAATTTTCGATTTTCGATTGAAATTTACGGTCTAACAGGATGGAGAAGTAGTTCGCGATGCGGAATGTACAGGATTTTCTTGCCACTCTAATTGCAGCAGATTTAATTTTGTTACTTTGAGCTCTCCGACAATGAACTCGAACACAAAATGACTTTTC